CTCTGCTCCACGCTCCCCTTACTGACCACGGGCCTCTGCTCCACGCTCCCCTTACTGACCACGGCCCTCTGCTCCACGCTCCCCTTACTGACCACAGGCCCTCTGCTCCAAGCTCCCCTTACTGACCACGGCCCTCTGCTCCACGCTCCCCTTACTGACCACGGCCCTCTGCTCCACGCTCCCCTTACTGACCACGGCCCTCTGCTCCACGCTCCCCTTACTGACCACGGGCCTCTGCTCCACGCTCCCCTTACTGACCACGGCCCTCTGCTCCACGCTCCCCTTACTGACCACAGGCCCTCTGCTCCAAGCTCCCCTTACTGACCACGGCCCTCTGCTCCACGCTCCCCTTACTGACCACGGGCCTCTGCTCCACGCTCCCCTTACTGACCACGGGCCTCTGCTCCACGCTCCCCTTACTGACCACGGGCCTCTGCTCCACGCTCCCCTTACTGACCACAGGCCCTCTGCTCCCACGCTCCCCTTACTGACCACGGCCCTCTGCTCCACGCTCCCCTTACTGACCACAGGCCCTCTGCTCCAAGCTCCCCTTACTGACCACGGCCCTCTGCTCCACGCTCCCCTTACTGACCAGGGCCTCTGCTCCACGCTCCCCTTACTGACCACGGGCCTCTGCTCCACGCTCCCCTTACTGACCACGGGCCTCTGCTCCACGCTCCCCTTACTGACCACAGGCCCTCTGCTCCACGCTCCCCTTACTGACCACGGCCCTCTGCTCCACGCTCCCCTTACTGACCACGGGCCTCTGCTCCAAGCTCCCCTTACTGACCACGGCCTCTCTCCATGCTCCCCCTTACTGACCACGGCCCTCTGCTCCACGCTCCCCTTACTGACCACGGCCCTCTGCTCCACGCTCCCCTTACTGACCACGGCCCTCTGCTCCACGCTCCCCTTACTGACCACGGCCCTCTGCTCCACGCTCCCCTTACTGACCACGGGCCTCTGCTCCACGCTCCCCTTACTGACCACGGGCCCTCTGCTCCACGCTCCCCTTACTGACCACAGGCCCTCTGCTCCACGCTCCCCTTACTGACCACAGGCCCTCTGCTCCACGCTCCCCTTACTGACCACGGGCCTCTGCTCCCACGCTCCCCTTACTGACCACGGCCCTCTGCTCCACGCTCCCCTTACTGACCACGGCCCTCTGCTCCACGCTCCCCTTACTGACCACAGGCCCTCTGCTCCACGCTCCCCTTACTGACCACGGCCCTCTGCTCCACGCTCCCCTTACTGGACCACAGGCCCTCTGCTCCCACGCTCCCCCTTACTGACCACGGGCCTCTGCTCCACGCTCCCCTTACTGACCACGGCCCTCTGCTCCACTCTCCCCTTACTGACCACGGGCCTCTGCTCCACGCTCCCCTTACTGACCACGGCCCTCTGCTCCACGCTCCCCTTACTGACCACAGGCCCTCTGCTCCACGCTCCCCTTACTGACCACGGCCCTCTGCTCCACGCTCCCCTTACTGACCACGGCCCTCTGCTCCACGCTCCCCTTACTGACCACGGCCCTCTGCTCCCACGCTCCCCTTACTGACCACGGCCCTCTGCTCCACGCTCCCCTTACTGACCACGGCCCTCTGCTCCACGCTCCCCTTACTGACCACGGCCCTCTGCGCCACGCTCCCCTTACTGACCACAGGCCCTCTGCTCCACGCTCCCCTTACTGACCACAGGCCCTCTGCTCCACGCTCCCCTTACTGACCACGGGCCTCTGCTCCACGCTCCCCTTACTGACCACCGGCCCTCTGCTCCACGCTCCCTTACTGACCACAGGCCCTCTGCTCCACGCTCCCCTTACTGACCACAGGCCCTCTGCTCCACGCTCCCCTTACTGACCACGGCCCTCTGCTCCACGCTCCCCTTACTGACCACGGCCCTCTGCTCCACGCTCCCCTTACTGACCACGGCCCTCTGCTCCACGCTCCCCTTACTGACCACGGGCCTCTGCTCCACGCTCCCCTTACTGACCACCGGCCCTCTGCTCCACGCTCCCCTTACTGACCACCGGCCCTCTGCTCCACGCTCCCCTTACTGACCACGGGCCTCTGCTCCACGCTCCCCTTACTGACCACAGGCCCTCTGCTCCACGCTCCCCTTACTGACCACCGGCCCTCTGCTCCACGCTCCCCTTACTGACCACGGGCCTCTGCTCCACGCTCCCCTTACTGACCACAGGCCCTCTGCTCCACGCTCCCCTTACTGACCACAGGCCCTCTGCTCCACGCTCCCCTTACTGACCACCGGCCCTCTGCTCCACGCTCCCCTTACTGACCACGGGCCTCTGCTCCACGCTCCCCTTACTGACCACAGGCCCTCTGCTCCACGCTCCCCTTACTGACCACGGGCCTCTGCTCCACGCTCCCCTTACTGACCACAGGCCCTCTGCTCCACGCTCCCCTTACTGACCACGGCCCTCTGCTCCACGCTCCCCTTACTGACCACGGGCCTCTGCTCCAAGCTCCCCTTACTGACCACGGCCCTCTGCTCCATGCTCCCCTTACTGACCACGGCCCTCTGCTCCACGCTCCCCTTACTGACCACGGCCCTCTGCTCCACGCTCCCCTTACTGACCACGGCCCTCTGCTCCACGCTCCCCTTACTGACCACGGCCCTCTGCTCCACGCTCCCCTTACTGACCACGGGCCTCTGCTCCACGCTCCCCTTACTGACCACGGGCCCTCTGCTCCACGCTCCCCTTACTGACCACAGGCCCTCTGCTCCACGCTCCCCTTACTGACCACAGGGCCCTCTGCTCCACGCTCCCCTTACTGACCACGGGCCTCTGCTCCACGCTCCCCTTACTGACCACGGCCCTCTGCTCCACGCTCCCCTTACTGACCACGGCCCTCTGCTCCACGCTCCCCTTACTGACCACAGGCCCTCTGCTCCACGCTCCCCTTACTGACCACGGCCCTCTGCTCCACGCTCCCCTTACTGACCACAGGCCCTCTGCTCCACGCTCCCCTTACTGACCACGGGCCTCTGCTCCACGCTCCCCTTACTGACCACGGCCCTCTGCTCCACGCTCCCCTTACTGACCACGGGCCTCTGCTCCACGCTCCCCTTACTGACCACGGCCCTCTGCTCCACGCTCCCCTTACTGACCACAGGCCCTCTGCTCCACGCTCCCCTTACTGACCACGGCCCTCTGCTCCACGCTCCCCTTACTGACCACGGCCCTCTGCTCCACGCTCCCCTTACTGACCACGGCCCTCTGCTCCACGCTCCCCTTACTGACCACGGCCCTCTGCTCCACGCTCCCCTTACTGACCACGGCCCTCTGCTCCACGCTCCCCTTACTGACCACGGCCCTCTGCGCCACGCTCCCCCTTACTGACCACAGGCCCTCTGCTCCACGCTCCCCTTACTGACCACAGGCCCTCTGCTCCACGCTCCCCTTACTGACCACGGGCCTCTGCTCCACGCTCCCCTTACTGACCACCGGCCCTCTGCTCCACGCTCCCCTTACTGACCACAGGCCCTCTGCTCCACGCTCCCCTTACTGACCACAGGCCCTCTGCTCCACGCTCCCCTTACTGACCACGGCCCTCTGCTCCACGCTCCCCTTACTGACCACGGCCCTCTGCTCCACGCTCCCCTTACTGACCACGGGCCTCTGCTCCACGCTCCCCTTACTGACCACCGGCCCTCTGCTCCACGCTCCCCTTACTGACCACCGGCCCTCTGCTCCACGCTCCCCTTACTGACCACGGGCCTCTGCTCCACGCTCCCCTTACTGACCACAGGCCCTCTGCTCCACGCTCCCCTTACTGACCACCGGCCCTCTGCTCCACGCTCCCCCTTACTGACCACGGGCCTCTGCTCCACGCTCCCCTTACTGACCACAGGCCCTCTGCTCCACGCTCCCCTTACTGACCACAGGCCCTCTGCTCCACGCTCCCCTTACTGACCACGGCCCTCTGCTCCACGCTCCCCTTACTGACCACGGCCCTCTGCTCCACGCTCCCCTTACTGACCACGGCCCTCTGCTCCACGCTCCCCTTACTGACCACGGCCCTCTGCTCCACGCTCCCCTTACTGACCACGGCCCTCTGCTCCACGCTCCCCTTACTGACCACGGCCCTCTGCTCCACGCTCCCCTTACTGACCACAGGCCTCTGCTCCACGCTCCCCTTACTGACCACGGGCCTCTGCTCCACGCTCCCCTTACTGACCACGGGCCTCTGCTCCACGCTCCCCTTACTGACCACGGCCCTCTGCTCCACGCTCCCCTTACTGACCACAGGCCCTCTGCTCCACGCTCCCCTTACTGACCACAGGCCCTCTGCTCCACGCTCCCCTTACTGACCACAGGCCCTCTGCTCCACGCTCCCCTTACTGACCACGGCCCTCTGCTCCACGCTCCCCTTACTGACCACAGGCCCTCTGCTCCACGCTCCCCTTACTGACCACGGGCCTCTGCTCCACGCTCCCCTTACTGACCACAGGCCCTCTGCTCCACGCTCCCCTTACTGACCACGGCCCTCTGCTCCACGCTCCCCTTACTGACCACGGCCCTCTGCTCCACGCTCCCCTTACTGACCACGGCCCTCTGCTCCACGCTCCCCTTACTGACCACAGGCCCTCTGCTCCACGCTCCCCTTACTGACCACCGGCCCTCTGCTCCACGCTCCCCTTACTGACCACCGGCCCTCTGCTTTACGCTCCCCTTACTGACCACGGGCCTCTGCTCCACGCTCCCCTTACTGACCACAGGCCCTCTGCTCCACGCTCCCCTTACTGACCACCGGCAGGCTTCACCTAATCTCTCCACACACTGGGAATGGCGGGAATTACCTGTTTGTAACATGAGCTCCAAGACGAGGGAGGACACGAGTGGACTGGACGCTGATCCTTTCTGTCTCTGTGATAAAGGTCATTGACCGGTTCCGTTTCAAATAGCCCCAGGGTAAGCAGACCCCTTCCTTTCTGAAAGGTTCTGGAGTAATACACACATAAGGGCCGCCTTCACCAACATGCCGTCGACTGGCCAGTTAAAACCCAGCAACATGCCGTCGACTGGCCAGTTAAAACCCAGCAACATGCCGTCGACTGGCCAGTTAAAACCCAGCAACATGCCGTCGACTGGCCAGTTAAAACCCAGCAACATGCCGTCGACTGGCCAGTTAAAACCCAGCAACATGCCGTCGACTGGCCAGTTAAAACCCAGCAACATGCCGTCGACTGGCCAGTTAAAACCCAGCAACATGCCGTCGACTGGCCACTTCAATCCCAGCAACATGCCGTCGACTGGCCAGTTAAAACCCAGCAACATGCCGTCGACTGGCCAGTTAAAACCCAGCAACATGCCGTCGACTGGCCAGTTAAAACCCAGCAACATGCCGTCGACTGGCCAGTTAAAACCCAGCAACATGCCGTCGACTGGCCAGTTAAAACCCAGCAACATGCCGTCGACTGGCCACTTCAATCCCAGCAACATGCCGTCGACTGGCCAGTTAAAACCCACCAACATGCCGTCGACTGGCCAGTTAAAACCCAGCAACATGCCGTCGACTGGCCATTTCAATCCCAGCAACATGCCGTCGACTGGCCAGTTAAAACCCACCAACATGCCGTCGACTGGCCAGTTAAAACCCAGCAACATGCCGTCGACTGGCCACTTCAATCCCAGCAACATGCCGTCGACTGGCCAGTTAAAACCCACCAACATGCCGTCGACTGGCCAGTTAAAACCCAGCAACATGCCGTCGACTGGCCACTTCAATCCCAGCAACATGCCGTCGACTGGCCACTTCAATCCCAGCAACATGCCGTCGACTGGCCACTTCAATCCCAGCAACATGCCGTCGACTGGACAGTTAAATCTCTGCACATTTTTGTGACCGCAATAGAACGACAACCGCAAGATGGTTGGTTTCTAAAGTTCATTTATCAAAACATTTCCCCCTTAATGAGGCCAAAAGTCTGATTGATCTACATGATAATCGGTCTGTGTAGAAATGATCCTCCTTGTCAACTCCCAGGTCTATATGAAACAGGGCAGAGCGTCGGCCTATCCGCTCCTAGCCGCTCCATCCAGATGACAGGAGAACGGATGTCATTTGGTTCATTAACCTTACAGCACTTTACCACTGGACCATGTACTCTAGATGGTTCAGTCCATCAAGGATTTTTTTTTATATATATTTTTTAAAGCACCTTAATAGCATCGGGAAGCCTCAACTATGGCCAGGGGCTGATTTGCTCTGGCGTTATCAAACAGCGTAATAATTATACATGACAAGCCTCTGGTTTATGCTCTTTGATTATTACACCGTCAGAGTTCTTCTTCATTATTTTAATATAGGGGCCTATGGGGTGGGGTTTAGGCAACCCACTGAAAGAAGAGAATGCGGGAGAAATCACCACCCCCTTCCTGCTTAGAACCCTCACCCCGAGACAATACAATGACACAAAGGGGAGAAAATAAATGTGAAAAGGATCCGTGTGTTCACACAGCGTTTCCCCCAGGTTCTCCAGCGTGTGAAGAAAAATGTGGTGTGTGTGTGTGTGTGAGAGCTCAGGCGTAGAGGGCTTGCACCTGGAGCAGGGAGGAGCATGCAAGGTCAGGGGTCACCCCACGGGGCTAAACGGGACTTGCTCGCTCTCCTGAGAAGGCCAGACAGTCCCTGCGGTGGCATTGACCAATATGGGCCTTTTTATCTCTCCTGTTCCCCCTCTCCTTCTCTCCCGTTCCCCCTCTCCCGTTCCCCCTCTCCTTCTCTCCCGTTCCCCCTCTCCTTCTCTCCCATTCCCCCTCTCCTACGCTTTCTTTCTTTTGGAAAAGCGCAGTAATCCATAACAGATTCAACAACGGCAGCTCGATCATCCTCACCGTCGCCCATTTTCTCCCCTCAGATGGAAATTCTAAAACAATTAACCTCTTCATGGCCGCAGACTTTTCCCAGGAAAGAGCACACCGGTAATTGAATGAATCCTCCATTTACCGTGACCCCACTCTCAGAGGGTGTCTCAGGGGGAAAACACATTTCCAATTCACACATGTATATAATAAACACTTGTACATGTGTGAAATAGGACAAATATAAGCACCCACCTAATTATTGTTTTATTATTACATTCTTGACTGTGACTTCGGTCTTTCACATGTAAATCTGATTACAAAAATCCTAAACTGTTGCTTTGTGATTGTCCAATGACCTTAGCAGCATGGGTGTTATTTTATCATGCAATAAAGATAGCAATTTATTTCAGTACAGATTTATAGACTGTGGATACAAAATACATAAAAACGTTTCATATCATTTTCAATAACCATTGGCAAACAGTGATTCGCATAAGCAAATATTACTGTCATTTTACGATCTACCCCTAATGCAATGTGGTTTTGTGTTAAGATGAATGCGGAATGAAAAGGGGCTAAAAATCCAGTGCAACATCAATTTCCAAAGTAATCAAAAAATTCCCTACTCATTACTATTTAGCTAAATTAAACCAATTGAAATAAACTGAACATCTAGACTACTAGGTCAAATAGGAGGTGCATAGTGTATAACCTGTCCAGTGTGTGGTGAAACAGAAATTTGTTTTTTTTTGCATAGCCCACTCCCCATGAGACACCCTCGGAGAGTTGGGTCACAGCCAGGGATCAGCCAGTATTGACGGCGACCCGGGAGCAATTAGTGTTGAGTGCCTTGCTCAAGGGCAGATCAACAGATCTTTTTTTTTTTTTTTATCTAGTCGGCTCGGGATTCAAACTACCTTTCAGTTACTGGCCCAACGCTCTAACCGCTAGGCTCCCTGCTGCCCTAGATAATACAGCAAATAAATGTCCTTAAAAAAAAAAATCAGAGAGGTAGAGGCTGGCTTGCATTTTGACTCAGAAAAGGTTGGTGACCACTGATATAGGGGTTAAGGTGCCTTTTGATATTCAGCCGAGGACAGATCTAGGAGTGTCCTTAACGCCATGTCACTCAAAGTAGGCCCGAGAAAACAAACAGATTGTTCTCATTTAGAGCTGCCTTCGTATTTCCCATAGCCTAAATAACATGTTCCTTACTTTGCAGGCTAGGCGATTATTCTTTCAATAAATTACGATTTGATGAGCAGAGAGAGAGATTAATTTCCTATAAATTATACATACTCTTAAAACATATGCAAAATATTTGAATATGGATTTTTAAAAGCTTGGTTGCAAGAAAGTAAAATCAATCATATAAAGTCTTAATTTGATCAATGTAAGATTAATACACAGTGGTGACCCAGAAATGTTAGACGAAATTCCATGACGTGAAATGCTGTCGGTCTGTTTTATTCTACCTGATTGTAGAATTAGCGATTTGCGAATGTCACACACAGACCACTCAAATCAGCCATTTTGCGAGTGTCACACACAGACCACTCAAATCAGCCATTTTGCGAGTGTCACACACAGACCACTCAAATCAGCCATTTTGTGAGCGTCACACTCAGACCACTCAAATCAGCCATTTTGTGAGTGTCACACTCAGACCATTCAAACCAGTCATTTTCCATAAAGCTAGCCTATCATTCAGCAATCCTCAGACGACAGCTCAATGAAGGCATTCTATGGCGACCCAAGAAGAAAGACGTGTGACCACAAGAGGGATTTATTTTCTTCCTATAACAGATAAAAGGCTTGTCGTTATGAGATTAAAGCAGGCTGAATTTAAGTTGTGAGAAAAGTCTATGGACTTTTGGGCTAGCTTCACAAAAGCTGCTTTCATCCAAAGACAATTTTTTCCATTGAAGGGTTTTCATTAAACTTGCAAGTCCTAATGAGATCTTGGTAAGCCAGCCTTTTGTTTACTCATTAGAAACCTCTATGCTCTAGCGTTCAGCCCCAGGTGATAGACATTCACTGGCCAAATGGGTAGAAAATGACACCATCATCAAAGGCCTGAGCATTACCACCAATGTAGTACTGAAACAGGGGCAGGTTCCAATTAAAACAAAATGATGAATTCGCGCATGCAAGAGTAAATAAATAAATAAATAAATAAATAATAGCTTTATGCCGTAGAATGAGAAAGAATGTGCAAGCTAATAATCCAAGTCAACAAAACAACTCCATATTACAGAATCAGCGGGTGGGAATAAGCCTTCGCTCTGTTTGCATTAAAAAACCCCTAGGTGCTGTTTAACAATGTTTCACAGCATTGCTAAAATAGTATGGTAGACAACACATACACCCACATGTACTCAACGGGAACAGTGTAGTCTTTCATGTTACCTTACTCCTCTCTGTGGGTGTGGGTGTGTGTGTGTGTGTGTGTGTGTGTGTGAGACTCCATCCCCTGCCATATACATGCATAGCGTGCTGGCTCCTTGATTGTGGATGGAGGAAGGGGAGGCAGACAGACAGACAGGCAGGCAGGCAGGCAGGCAAACAGACAGGCAGGCAGGCAAACAGACAGGCAGGCAGGCAAACAGACAGGCAGGCAAACAGACAAACAGACAGGCAGACGGGGGGGGGGGGGGGGGGGAATATAAAACAACTGGCTGTTCTCCAGACTGACTGGAACTCTGTCTATCTTTCAGGTGTCTCGGGCGGCAGTTGGGTGAGGTGTACATAACAGATGATCCAGACAAAGAAGGAGCATACCAGCGGCATCAAGCAGGGAGGGGAAAAAAAGGAGGTTATAAAATGTAAGTAGGTATCTTCCACTGGAGTGACTTTCTGTGTTGGGTTGGTTTTTTTTCTCTCTCTCCCCCCCCCCCCACTTTCTTTTCCCCAGAGCACCACCCCAAAGAATGGGACAAACAGATTTTATAGATCTAATTAAAACCATATGAAACCTTTCAAAACATCAAACAGCCCATTCTTTTCTGAGGGCCTTATTTTTCTCCGATTTCAGAGCATTTTTATTGAGACTCAAAATATGATGTTGTTTCTCCTCCCTTCTGTGTGGGAATCAATATCGGGTTGAAAGAATGACATGGCCTCATATAGAGAGTGTCTGTCAAATTGATTGGAATGTGCTCCCTCTCAAGCAAAGGCAGGTTTGGTAGTGAGACAGAGAGAACACCCTCGTTGGCTAGCCTAAACTGGTCACTTCGGTCTTCTTAGAATTCAGCTTAAAGTCTCAACATTTTAACGGTCGTTTGTGTCAGAATATTTGCCATGGAAAATGGAAAATGAAATTGGAGAATGATCCACCCTTTCTCCCATCCCTGTTGCTGAGCTTTGTGTCTCAGGTGCTCCATGTCCTCTTGTTGGAAACTTGGGTTAATTGCCCTCACTCGGTCGTGTCGACAGGTCGGACAGCCCTGCACGGACTTTTAGGGTCAGCGTGTTTGGCGTGCCTTTATTTTGGCTGTCATACCCTACCCTACCCTGCACAGCACAGCACATAGCCTAACATCCAGTCAAAAACAGAGCACTTAGGCTATCTTTTACCGACAGTTTATAACCAAAACCAAGGGGGAGGTAGGTTACGCCTATAATAATATAATATAATATGCCATTTAGCAGACGCTTTTATCCAAAGCGACTTACAGTCATACTATAGGCGTGAACCTCAAAGTATACGGATGAATAATAACATTTTATAAATAAAATACATGTATTTTAGAAATTACTCAATTTTACTCTCAACGTGCAAACACAGGACTTGGGGTGCAAGGTGTTTAGAAACTTTTTAAACGGGACATGCAATGAGTCACCATTGATAGGCGCCCCATCTCATCAAAATTAAATCTGAGCTCATCAAAAATACATCTGCGTGAAGTAATACAAAAACACTTACGTGCGGTTCATTTTAGAATCTGAAGACGATTCATAGTCTCGTACGGCTCAAGAATGTTCGCTGTCAACAGTCAGTCCGTTCGGAAATGCAATAGAATATCTGTGGCCGGCCGTTGAAAACTTCATTTTATAACTTGTCTTCATTTGTAATAATTGTTGCGCTCTCGTTGACGTCCTACCGCGCCGGACTCTGTTCTTCAGTGATGCTCCAATCCCGCGATTGATCGCTGTGTGGAGCGTCTGGAGAGGAAGCTGTCATGTGAGCTGAGAAGAGTCGCGCCATTGGCTGGCAGGAAAGCACACATTGATAAGGCTGCTCTTTGTTCCATTGGCCCAGCACGGGAACGGACGGAGAGAGGCGGTGATCTGTGTGCAGCGAGCACTCCACTATTTCCAGCAAAGACGAAAAGTAACAAATTGCTGAAGTCATTTTGGTCTTGAGGTCAGGAATAACAAATACAAGTCTAATAACAAATAAAAGTATATGAACAAAGTCTAATACTCATAATTTAAAGAAACAAGTCTAGAGAAAGCTATAAACAAGATACAGTTATACAAATTATTGACACCCTTGATAAAGATTAGCAATATTGACTGTATAAAATAAATAATTCAAATTCTGAGCTATATTGTATGCTCCAATATATATATTTTTTATATACTAATACAATTGCTCAAAGAAATATATTTTGTTTAACAAGTAATATTTGTTTTTCTCAAAAAGGTAGGGGTCATGTTTCTAAATACTTCTACATTAATGTGGATGCTACCATGATTACGGATAATCCTGAATGAATCGTGAATAATGATGAATGAAAAACATTATACCCTAAAACATGCTAACCTCTCACCATTACCAATAACAGGGGAGGTTAGCATGTCTTTGGGGGTATGATCTTTGACCCTCTGTAACTTTCTCACTCATCATTAATAGCGATTCACTCAGGATTTAGGACTATCCGTAATCATGGTAGCATCCAGATTAATGTGTTTAGAAACATATTCTATTCTTATTTACAATAAAAGTGACTCCAAAATGACACAATACATTATTTACCATTCATTTCTATTGGGCACAAAATAATCTGAAACACAACCGAAACGAACTGCAAATACATCCTGCAAGTTTGTAGATTCACAAA